GACCCACCAGAATGGGGAGGCAGGGGGTGTTGGGGGTCCCCTCTCTTAAGGGGGTCCATCTGGTGGGACCAATAGGAAGGGCCTTCTCTCTGGTGGTTCCCTCCCTGTTATTGGAAGGACCATCTTTTCCCAGTTATGTGTGACCCACCAGAATGGGGAGGCAGGGGGTGTTAGGGGGTCCCCTCTCTTAAGGTGGGATCCAGGAGAAGGGCCTTCTCGGTGGTGGTTCCCTCCCTGTTATTGGAAGGACCATCTTTTCCCAGTTATGTGTGACACACCAGAATGGGGAGGCAGGGGGTGTTGGGGATCCCCTCTCTTAAGGGGGTCCATCTGGTGGGACCAATAAGAAGGGTCTTCTCTATGGTGGCTCCCTCCCTGTGGAAATAAGATTGACCTGGGGACCCCGAGGTGGTACGGAACCCATCAAATAGTTGGTTTGATGGTAGTGACCAGGGTTTGTTTATTTGGTTTTGTACAGGTAGTCCTCGACCCGTAACCCTAACCCTATCCCTAACCCTATAAAAATTAATAAAATAGATATATCAACTACTAGATAAATCAATAAGATAGTACCATCTTCACGTTGGGGTTGATAGGCCAGCCGGTCTCTGACGGCTTCTTTCCTCTGCTCGCAGTGCCCCATGCTGAAGGGCCGGGTCCAGAAGATTCTCCACTGGCAGTGGGGGGAGCCCCCAACGCCGGTTGCCGTCCCCCTGCCCTCCGATCGCAAGCCGGACGACCCGCCCCCGAAGGCGCTCCAGGGACGTTCGGAGCGCGAATTCTTTGTGAAATGGGTGGGCCTCTCGTACTGGCACTGCTCCTGGATAAAGGAATTGCAGGTATGGCCCCCCTTTGGGATGGCGGGGCAGGGCCGGGAGGAGAGGGGCAGCCGAATCCTAACCGAAGGTGGGGGGCTCTGAGCTCAGCCCCGTCTCTTTGAGCTGGGAGCTGTCTGTCGCCGGTCCCAGCTATTTTTGTTTCCTGACTGGCCCCATTTTGATAACACAATCGCACTTACCGCCGGATATCCATTTTATGGACCCCCGAAGCGAAAGGGATGATCAGTAGACAAGAGTAGCTGTGGCTCACGGGGAAACAGTGGGATCGGAGGAGGGCGGTGTGGGGTCCTTGGGGCTCTCTGAGATGGCTTGTTTTTCTCGCAGACGTCTCATGACCCAGCTAGGGAACAGCATCAGTGCTGGAAGGGAGGGGCATCTCTGGTGTGGAAGGAGGAGGAAGAGGAGGATGACTGAGGGGGCCTTGGTGGTCTCTGAGCTGGGTGGTTTCCTTGCAGACGTTTCATGACCCAACTAGGGAACGTCATCGGTGCTAGATGGGAGGGGGGATTTACTGAGTAGGGAGAGGAGGAGTCAGAGGAGAAGAAGAAGGAGGAGGAGGAGGAGTGAGAAGGAGGAGGACGGGGGGGTTGGTTTCTGGTGCTCTCTGAGCTGGCTGGTTTCCTTGCAGACGTCTCATGACCCAACTAGGGAACATCATCAGTGCTAGGAGGAGGAGGAGGAGGAGGACTGTGGGGTCCTGGGTGGTCTCTGAGCTGGCTGGTTTCCTTGCAGACGTCTCATGACCCAACTAGGGAACATCATCAGTGCTAGGAGGAGGAGGAGGAGGAGGACTGTGGGGTCCTGGGTGGTCTCTGAGCTGGGTGATTTTCCTTGCAGACGTCTCATGACCCAACTAGGGAACGCAATCAGTGCTATGAAGGAGTGGTGTTTGCAGAGAGGAGGAGGAGGAGGAGGAAGAAGAAGAAGAGGACTGTGGGGTCCTTGGTGTTTTCTGAGCTGGGCAGTTTCCTTGCAGACATTTCATGACCCAACTAGGGAACACCATCAGTGCTAGAAGGGAGTGGGCTTTACTCTCTGTTTATATGCAGTGGGCATGCCCTGTCTGTGTCGGTGGGAGAGTTGTTTTCTTCCCGGTAGCTCCTTAATTAGCCTGTTGTGGCTGTGTGTCTTGTCTGTGTTGAGAGTTTCTTAATTGGGAAATGGCTTACTTCTGGATTGTTGGTCTAATGTTAATCTCGGTGTGAAGATTTAACACACCAAACATTATTATCTGGGTGTTGATTGCTGTCAGGTGTTCCGGTTCTTTTTGCTTCCTAAAGGGAACCAACGACCAACTCAGGCAAACAATCAAATGCCAACAGTGGCTGATCAAGCGGTTGTGCTTTGACTGTTGTTGCCAGCCTCTGGGAGGGTTGTTGAGTTTTGTAGTGGGGGTTTTATTTCTGCAAGCTGCCTGGAAGCCCCTGGGAGCGAGTCGGGCGGTCCTATACCTTTTCTTCATTAAAAAAAAAGAATGGTAATATTGAAAAACGGGGGTTTTGTCAAACGTCAGAGAAAAAACCGGCTTATAAAAGGTGGAGGAAACAGTCGATGGGCGGCGATAGCCGGAAACAGTCGATGGGCGGCGATAGCCGGAAACAGTCGATGGACAGCGATAGCCGGAAACAGTCGATGGACAGCGATAGCCGGAAACAGTCGATGGACAGCGATAGCCGGAAACAGTTGATGGGCGGCGATAGCCGGAAACAGTAAATGGGTGGCAATAGCCAGAAACTCAGTCTTTGCGTCTGCAGCCTGGGTATATATTCCTGGATTAAAACCGGGCTTGGATTCGGGGCGCCGTCCTTCAGACGGGTGATCCCTCCTGCTCTCCCTTCCCATCCCAGCTGGAGATCTTCCACCTAGTCATGTACAGAAACTACCAGCGGAAGAACGACATGGACGAGCCTCCCCCCTTCGACTACGGCTCCGGCGACGACGACGGCAAAAGTGAGAAGCGGAAGAGCAAGGATCCCCTCTACGCGGAGATGGAGGAGAACTACTACCGCTACGGCATCAAGCCGGACTGGATGACCATCCACCGGGTGATAAACCACAGGTCGCTTTCCGTCGGGCCGGAAGCCTCAGCGTGTTTGTTTGGGTTTTTTTTTTTAAAGTTCTTTATGACTTTATAAGTCACGCTCCTTTCTCCTGTTTTCCCAACAAGAACAACAAGCCTGTGAGGTGGGTTGGGCTGAGACAGACTGGTGGGCCCAATGTCACCTAGTTGGTTTTTAGGTTTAAGGTGGGACTAGAACTCACCGTCTCCTGGTGATTGGCCCAGAGTCACCCAGCCGGCTTTCATGCTTAAGGCGGGACTAGAACTCACTTTCTCCTGGTGATTGGCCCAGAGTCATCCAGCCGGCTTTCATGCCTAAGGCAGGACTAGAACTCGCCGTTTCCTGGTGATTGGCCCAGAGTCACCCAGCCGGCTTTCTTGCTTAAGGCGGGACTAGAACTCACCGTCTCCCAATTTCTACCCTGGTGCCTTTCCCTACTGTCCGAATCCTTCGATTCTTATACAGTGGCGTGTTTGTTGGTTGGTTGCATTCAGACTCACAATGAGAAGCGTTCAACTTTGCGTGTGTTGCTTTCGTGGCTCCATCATCATCTTCGTAGTCTTAACAGTGATTCCTAATACGGAGTATGATAAATAACCCCAGTTATCTTCGCCCGTTTTCCTCTCCTCTCTCTCTCTCTCTCTCTCCTCTCCCTCTCTCCCTCCCTCTCTCTCTCTCCCTTTCCCTCTCTCTCCCTCTCTCTCTCTCCCTCCCTCTCCCTCTCTCTCCCTTTTCCTCTCTCCCTCTCCCTCTCTCCCTTTCTCTCTCTCCCTCTCTCTTCCCCTCTCTCTCTCCCTTTCCCTCTCTCTCCCTCTCTCTCTCCCTCCCTCTCCCTCTCTCTCCCTTTTCCTCTCTCTCCCTCTCCCTCTCCCTTTCTCTCTCTCCCTCTCCCTCTCTCTTTCTTTCCCTCTCTCTCCCTCTCTCTCTCTCCCTCCCTCCCTCCCTCTCTCTCACCACCTGCATTGACCACCTGCAGCATTGACAAAAAGGGCGTCTATCACTATCTGGTGAAGTGGCGGGACCTTTCCTACGACCAATCCACCTGGGAGGAGGATGAAATGGCCATCCCCGAGTACGAGTACCACAAGCAGGGCTACTGGTCCCACAGGTAAGGGGTGTGTGTGCTGTGATTGGGGAGTACATAAGGCCTGGAGAGCAAAACGTACGAAGGGCGGTTGCAGAAATTGGGTCTGGCCAGTCTAGAGAAAAGAAGGACTTAGGGGAGACATAATAGCAGTGTTCCAGTATTTGGGGGAGGGGGCTGCCCCAAAGAGGAGGGGGGTCACGTTATTCTCCAAAGCACCAGAGAGCAGGACGAGAAACAACGGTTGGAAACTGACCCAAGAGAGAAGCAACCTGGAATTAAGGAGAAACTTCCAGACAGCGAGGACAATTAACCAGGGGAACAGCTTGCCACCAGAAGTTGTGGATGCTCCATCGCTGGAGGCTTTTTAAGAAGAGACTGGACAGCCACTTGTGTGAAGTGGTCTAGGGTCTCCTGCTTGAGCAGGGGGTTGGACTAGAACAGGGCTCCCCAACCTTGGGAACTTTTAAGACCTGTGGACTTCCAACTCCCAGAATTCCCCAGCCACTCATTGTGGCCCCGCTTACTCTCTTATAATCCCTTCCTCTCCAATCTGCTGGAGCAAGGGCTGGACTAGAAGACCTCCCGGGCCCCTTCCCGCTCTGTTCTGATTCCGATTCTAGCCGTGGACCTTACTAGCAGCTTCCGTGGGGCAACTGAGGCCTTCTTTTCTCTCCTCCTTGTAACCAGAGAACTAATTATGGGTGAAGATCCGGCCCAGCCGAGGAAGTACAAGAAAAAAAAGAAGGAGCTGAACTCGGACGACCCCCCGAGTTCTCCCACCAATGACGTGAGTTCCCGGGGGGGGATCCCTGTGCCACAGCCAGACAGAGGGAAGCCAGGTAGTCCTCGACTTACGACCACAACCCTCAGCTCCACCTTTATGGCCACGAGTTCTTTGCCGGAGTTGCTCCATGAATCCCTACAGTTGTTGTTAAGTTAGGAACGCGGTTGTTAAAGCGAACCCGGCTTCTCCCCCCCCCTCCCCCGTTGACTTGGAGGTCGCAAAAAGGGATCAGGGACCCCGCTGCGACCGTCATAACGGTGAGTCGGTGGCCAAGTGTTGGGATTTTGATCACGCGACCGGGGAGATGCGGCCAGGGGTCATCGGTGTGGCGAAACGGCGCTACGGCGCTTTTTCTCCCCCAGGGGCGTCGCGACTCGGGACGGTCGCGAAGCTGAGCGGTCGTAAGTCGAGGACAAAATAAGGGAGGCGAGCCCGGCTGTCTGGGTTCCCCGTTTTGAAGTGGACCCCCCCCCTCCTCTCTTCCCCGCAGCCGACGGTGAAGTACGAGAGCCAGCCCCGTTTCGTCACCTCCACCGGGGGGACGCTGCACATGTACCAGCTGGAAGGGCTGAACTGGCTGCGCTTCTCCTGGGCGCAGAGCACCGACACCATCCTGGCGGACGAGATGGGCCTCGGCAAGACCATCCAGACCATCGTCTTCCTCTACTCGCTCTACAGGGAGGTGAGGCGGGAGCACCGCTTGAGGGGCTGGACTCGGGCCCCAGGGCCTCTTTCCAGGGCGGTCCGGACATCAAAAGGGGCTTGGCTTCTCTCTGTGTGTGTTTCTCTCTCTCTCTCTCTCTGTGTTACTCTCTCTTTCTCCCTTTCTCTTTCTCCCTTTCCTGCTCTCTTTCTCTCCCTTATTCTCTCTGTTTCTCTCTCTTCCTTTCTCGCTCTCTCTTTCCCTTATTCTCTCTTTCTCTCTCTCTTCCTCTCTCTTTCTTCGTTTCCCGCTCTCTCTTTCTCCCTTTCTCGCTCTCTCTTTCTCTCCCTCATTCTCTCTCTCTCTCTCTCTCTTTTTTTGCCTTCCCCTGCTCTTTCTCCCTTTCCTGCTCTCTCTTTCTTTTTCTTTCTTCCTCTCTCTTTCTGTCTCTTCCTTCCCCTTTTCTCTCTTTTTCTCTTTCCTGCTCTTTCTTTCTCTCTCTCTCTTTTCCCCTTTCCTGTTCCCTTTCTTTCTTTCTTTCTTTCATTCTTTCTTTCTTTCTTTCTTTCATTCTTTCTTTCTTTCTTTCTTTCTTTCTTTCTTTCTTTCTTTCTCCCTCTCTTTTTCTCCCTTTCCTGTTCTCTTTCTTTCTCTTTTTCTTTCTCCCTTTCCCGTTTTCTTTCTTTCTTTCTTTCTTTCTTTCTTTCTTTCTTTCTTTCTTTCTTTCTTTCTTTCTTTCTTTCTCCCTCTCTCTCCCCCTTTCCTGCTCTCTCTTTCTCTCTCTCTTTCTCCCTTTCCCTTTCCCGCTTGCTCTTTCTCTCACTCACTCTCTCTCTCTCTCTCTCTCACACATGCAAACAAACACACGCTGAGAGGCTCATTCACAGAATCCATTGGGAGTCCAGCTGGTGCCTTCCCTACCCTTTCGTCTTTCACCCCCCCCTTTTCCCCTCCCTTCCCCAGACCGTCCAGCCGGCCGCCGGGTCCCCTTGTCCTGAGCAGGGAAAGGCTCGTCCGTTTGTCTTACACACAGGAAGAGATTTCCTTTTTTCCTGCCCGTTTCCCACCCCCACCCCGCCCACCCCTGGCCCCATGCCCCGTTTGGCCCTTCCAACTGGCCGCATGTTCGAATTCTTCCTGCGCCTGTCTGCCTGTGCCAGACCCGGGGAGGCCTTTGGAGGGCCTCCGTTGTGCCCCACTTGCCTTCTCGGGCCAGAACAGCCTGGGGGGGGGTTGTCTCTGTGTGTGTTTGTGTGTGTGTGTCTCTTAGCTTTGCCAGCACACTTGGCTGAACCACTCAAGCTGCAGGCTCTCGACGAAGATGAACAAGCGGCGTCTGTGTCTGTGTGTGTCTGTGTGTGAGTGTGCGTGTGAGATTTATCCCTGCTGGAGCCCAGCAGCCGATAACTTCCAACGGCTCCAGCTGCTGCTGCTTTAGCCGGAGATAAAACGGGATTTGCCTCTTTCCTCCTTCCTCTCTCTCTCTCTCTCTCTCTCTCTCTCCAGAGACGAGGACGAGACTCTCAAGACCAAAAAAAAATTGCATTTGCACCAAGAAAGCCTCCTGGGGAACAAAACCGATTTGCACACCCGCTTTTTTTGTGCGCGGTGCACGCCTGTGTGCGTCTCCGGGAATCCCCTTTTCCCAGAGGGGATGCGCGCTGCCTTAACGATGCTCCCGGCGCGGCGTGCCTTCGTCGCCGCACGTGACGACGGGTTCCCCCCCCATCCCTTGCCTGGTGTTGGTTTGGAAGTCTTGGGGGTGGGGGCTTTGCGTTTGTCGCCGCTTTCTGGCCCAGACGCTGCTGCCGGGCGAGTCCTCGGCGCGAGGCGGGCGCGCCAGCTGCGGGCAGGAGGGTCCTTGCGTGAAAACAGCTGTTCTTCCTGCGTGGGAACAGCTGCCGTGGCGGCTGGCGGTGTGTCAGGCATCCCAGCAGGGCCACGGGGAGAAACCTCGCTCGTTCGGGCGTCCTGCTTTTTTTTTGTTTGTTTGTTTTGTTTTGTTTTTATGAATGGAGCCGTTTTGGCCTAGCCCGGCTCCCGGGAGCCGAATGCGAAACGGGATGAGAATCGCTGGGTGGTGCCGAGTCAGGCCAGACACTGGCGAGTTTATTTCTTTATACCTCAAAACTTTTCAAGCTGCCCGTTTCTCTCGCAGAGGGGGCCCCGGGTGGCACGCAATTTTATTTTATTTTAGAAAATGTGTATTGTCGCCTACTGGCGCCTGAAGGCAGGACAAGAAGCAATGGATGGAAACTAAATCAGGGAGAGAAGCAACCTGGAATTAAGGAGAAACTTCCTGACAGTGAGGACAATTAACCAGTGGAACAGCTTGCCACCAGAAATCGTGGCCGCTCCATCACTGGAGGTTTTTAAGAAGAGACTGGACAGCCATTTGTCTGAAATGGAATAGGGTTTCCTGCCTGAGCAGGGGGTTTGACTAGATGACCTCCAAGGTCCCTTCCAACTCTGTTATTCTTTTTTCCTTCCTTCTTTCCTTCCTTACTCCCTCCCTCCCTCCCTCCCTCCCTCCTCCAACACTGAAAAATGTTAAGAAGAGACGGGGTTGAACTAGATGACCTCCAAGGTCCCTTCCATCTGTTATTCTGTTATTCTTTTTTCATTCNCTTCCTTCCTTCCTTCCTTCCCTCCCTTCTCCAACACTGGTAGTTTTTAAGAAGAGACTGGACAGCCACTTGTCTGAAATGGTACTATAGGATTCCCTGCCTGAACAGGGGGTTGGACTAGATGACCTCCAAGGTCCCTTCCATCTATTATTCTGTTATCCTTCCTTCCTTCCTTCCTTCCTTCCTTCCTTCCTTCCTTTCTTCCTTCCCTTCTCCAACACTGGAAGCTTTTAAGAAGAGACTGGACAGCCCTTTGTCTGAAATGGCACTATAGGGTTTTCTGCATGAGCCGGGGGCTAGACTAGATGACCCTCAAGGTCCCTTCCAACTCTGTTGTTATTAATACAGTTGTCCTCGGCTTACGGCCACACTTGAGCCAAAATGTTTCTGCCGTTCAGCGAAACGTTTTATTAGACTGAACCTCACTTGCGCCCCATTTGTACGGCTTTTTCTTGCCTCGGCTGGCTAAGGCAATCACCGCAGCGGTGAAGTTAGGAACACGGGGTCGTTGAGCGAATCCACTGACTTTGCCGGTCAGAAGGTGGCAGAAGGGGCGCACGTCTCACACACAGACACACACACACACACACAGATACACCGGGGGACCCTGCCACCGTCACAAATACGAAGAAGAGACTGGACAGCCGCTTGTCTGAAATGGTGTAGGGTTCCTGCCTGAGCAGGGGGTTGGACTCGATGACCTCCAAGGTCCCTTCTGAGTCTGTTATTCTTTTTTTCCTTCCTTCCTTCCTTCCTTCCTTCCTTCCTTCCTTCCTTCCTTCCTTCCTTCCTTCCTTCCTTCCTTCCTTCCTTCCTTCCTTCCTTCCCTCCCTCTTTTCTCCAACACTGGAAGTTTTTAAGAAGAGACTGGACAGCCATTTGTCCGAAATGGTATAGGGTCTCCTGCCTGAGCAGGGGGTTGGACTAGATGACCTCCAAGGTCCCTTCCATTATTATTATTATTATTATTATTATTATTATTATTATTATTATTATTATTATTATTATTATTATTATTATTATTATTATTATTATCATCATCATCATCATCATCATCATTATCATCATCATTATTATTATTATTATCATCATCTTAAATTTGGGGGATGCCCTAACCGTCGTAAGCGTGAAAAACGGGTCACCCTGCCCTTTTTTTCCCCCCCGATCCCGTCGTAACTCCGGTCGCTCAACGAACTGCTGCAAGCCGGCGGAGCAGCCGTGTGGCTCCTCCCTGATCCGCCGTTCTCCTTTTTTTTCCTCTCTTTTTTCCTTTTCCCCCTCCTAGGGCCACACCAAGGGTCCCTTCCTGGTCAGCGCCCCTCTGTCCACCATCATCAACTGGGAGCGTGAGTTCCAGATGTGGGCGCCCAACTTCTACGTGGTGACCTACACGGGGGACAAGGACAGCCGCTCCATCATCCGGGAGAACGAGTTTTCCTTTGAGGACAACGCCATGAAGGGCGGGAAGAAAGCCTTCAAAATGAAGGCAAGTAACCACCACAACAAGGACACACACACCCTGTGAGGTGGGTGGGGCTGAGAGAGGGGGACTGGCCCAAAGTCACCCAGCTGGCTTTGGTGCTTAAGGCGGGACTAGAACTCACTGTCTCCTGGTGACTGGTCCAAAGTGACGCAGCTGGCTGTCATGCCTGAGGAGGGACTAGAACTCACTGTCGCCTGGTGATTGGCCCAAAGTCATCCAGCCGGCATTCGTGGCTAAGGTGGGACTAGAATTCACCATCTCCTGGTGATTGGCCCAATATCATCCAGCTGTCATTCATGTCTAAGGCGGAACTAGAACTCACCGACGCCTGGTGATTGGCCCAAAGTCACCTAGTTGCTTTCATGCCTAAGGCAGGACTAGAACTTACCTGGTCTCCTGGTGCTTGGCCCAATATCATTCAGCTGTCATTCATGTCTAAGGCGGAACTAGAACTCACCGTCTCCTGGTGATTGGCCCAAAGTCACCCTCCTAGTTTTCATGCCTAGGGCGGAACTAGAACTCACAGTCTCCTGGTGATTGGCCCAAAGTCACCTAGTTGCTTTCATGCCTAAAGAGGGACTAGAACTCACCATCTCCTAGTGATTGGCCCAAAGTCACCCAGCTGTCATTCATGCCTAAGGCGGGACTAAAACTCACCGTCTCCTGGTGATTGGCCCAAAGCCACCCAGCCGGCATTCATGGCTAAAGCAGGACTAGAACTCACCATCTCCTGGTGATTGGCCCAAAGTCACCTAGTTGCTTTCATGCCTGAGGCAGGACTAGAACTCACCGTCTCCTGGTGATGGGCCCAATGTCACCCAGCTGTCATTGGTGTCTAAGGCCGGACTAGAACTCACCCTCTCCTGGTGATTGGCCCAAAGTCACCCAGCCAGCATTCCTGGCTAAAGCAGGACTAGAACTCAC